GCAGCGCATTAACATGCTGGACCCCCAGACATGCAACGCAGTGCCCGCGTCCATCATCCGAGGACAGGAAACCACCGCATCCAGAAACGCACAGTCGGAGCGCCGTCCTGATAAGGACGTGCTGCACGACTGTGTTGCTCTTTCTGTGAAGTTTGCAACTTTATACGCACCGCTCTGGAGGACCGGACCCAAAGAACGCCAGGCAAGGGAGAAACCCAGCTCGACCGTCTGCCACTGCATGTACACACTCTGGACCGGAAGAATGCTCTCGTTCGCTCAGAATCGCTGGTCACAGCAGGAGGAACCCTCATCGACTCGATCAGAAAGTCTCTGAAGCGAAAAGGATAGCGTCTGCTGGCGCCAGGTGAGCTTATATACTCAGTTGATTGCTTATGCCGCTCACCTGCGCAGGCTTGCGCTGCCAATTCATTCTTAATTGGCCCGTTCAATACTCTTTCAGACGAGTAGCTTCTGAACCGAACCTCCCAATGCGTGGATTTTACAATCAAATCCACTTATAGTGCTGAAGTTCCCCCCGAAGGGGAACAACAAATCTGTCACCATATGAACTACAACTCCCTTCAGGCACCACACACACACACCTGTCCCGGTTCTCCATTGGTTACACACATACACATAGCTGATAGCTACTCAAGACTGATTACATGAACTATATAAACAGCACACACACTCACAGACATTGCTGAGTCTTGTCGGTACATACCCTGTAACATTATGAAGCGTTTTCCATGTTTAGTCTCTTGGTGTTTTAACCCTGCCGCCTGTATCAACCATTTGTTTGTTATCTGACTAGACTGCTGGATTTCCCTGTTTGTTACAGTTTGCACCTGATTGTGACCATTTCCTGACTGACCACTCTCTGTGTAATAAAGTACTGCATGTGGATCCTCAACTTCGGTGTCAGCATCCTTCAGTTGCAATTAAGAAAGAAAAAAAATTACAAACTCAAAATTTTACACATTTTTAGTTTCGCTTGAATTTTGCTTTTTTTATTTCATATTTCTCCCTAACATATACATTCCGGTGTACAAATTTTGGACTGATATCATAAGTTATTTGGTTAGATTAGATTTGGCTTAAGTACTGACTGATCTAATGTACAGTATTTGCACAAATATAATATTTGTAAAGCCTCCTATAAAAAAATATTAATTTAAATGAGAGATGTATTAGGGGTATACTCATATAGGTTGGGCACTGTATACAGAAGTCAAGGACAGAGTAATTGTACCAAAAAGTTTTTAATGTTATATATTTTTTTCTGTCTAGATTTGTCTTTATTTCTTGTCTCATTTTGCAGTTTTTGCAGTTGATAGCAATCCCATAATATATAACAATTTGAATACCATAGCAAACTTTTATTTAAGTAAATAGTTGTCCAACAAATAGAAATGCTGTATTTCTTAATTAAAAGAATGTAGCTTTTAAGTATTTTCCAATTAAGTAAGTAAGCACAACATTAAGTGATCATTCACATAAACAGTCAGTGAGTGAGTGGTCTGCTCTTTATCGTGCCAATGTTTTCTGATTAATGCTGTCAGCATTATAGACAGCAGCAGCTCTATTAGACTTTATTTACAGTGCGAGCTCTAATGCATACATCCATTGCTTTTGTACTGCCTGTGTACATTTACTTAAAACATATCTGACTGTGTTTACATTAACATCTCCCCCAGACTGCCTTTTTAGCAAAAAAAAGAAATTAAAAAAAAAAAGGTGCGTTTGAATGCAAGGTACAATTACTCTTTGCAGGCTGAATGTGCAAATAAAAATGAAAGTACAGCTATTTTTATCAACTCCACAACCTGCTTGAATGGTGCACACCAGTAGTTCTCAACCACTATGTGGACTCAGGAAAAAGGGCCTAAATATAATTTCATATATAATTTCAAGGAGTACTTTTATATCCTTTTAAGAAGATACAACATAAGCATATACTGTAATAGCTCATATCCTTTATTACTACCATAGCAATGTCTCTTTAAATGCAAATGAGCTGCTGCTCCCCACCCCTTTTCCAGAAAAGGACGATGCCTTTACAGCTTAAAACTTGATTACTCAGGAAATGACAATAAACAAAACAACTGCATGCTTTTTAAAGTCTTGTCAGTTTTAACTCCCAACTTACAGGCTGCGTCTGAAATCGCCCACTACTCATTAGTTACTGCATTTGAATTTACTACTCGACCATTTGAAAAGTATTTTCTATATGGTATGAATGAGAGTAGTATCCCAGCAAACACGCAATGTCATATTGGGTTAGATTAAGGTTGCCAGCATCTAAGCACAATGTTATTCTGACATCCAATAACAACGTGAAATGACATTGATATTTGGTTGATTTTAGGTTGTGTTATAAAAAATGACCAAAATTCAACATCAAGCCAACATTTTAAACCAACAGGTATGGCAACCAAAATCCAACGCCTAATAGACGTCATAGTGGTAACAGCCACACAACATCAAACATTGAATAGTAACCAAAATGCATTATCTGACGTTGGACATTGACGTAGACCTGATGTTGGGTTCTGACGTCAACATCATTTTCATTTTCAACCAAAAAGCAAAATCCTACGATGTTGGGGTACAACGTCAATCTGATGTCATGTTGACCTCCTGTGCCTGCTGGGATGAATGGAAAACGGACATACTATATCCGCCGTTTTGTCATTATCACATGACCACAACATTGTGTCACTTCACTCCCATTCACAAATTCTCCCATGGTGTGTTATGGGATAGGGTAGTATCCATCAGATGCGCATTTCAGAATCTCGCCGGAAGTATTAGGTCATCCGGGTAACTTCTCGCATACTGGTTTTCAAATTCTATGAAATCGGACAAACTACTTGGCTCACATACTGTTTTTCGTGTACTAAATAGTATGGAAGTATGCCATTGCGGACACAGCCAGTTCTTTTGAGCCCACAGACACAAGCCCTTGCACTAGAAGTTGTCATTTGACTTGTTGCATGAGTAAGGAACTACATTCTCTTTTGTGACAGCTTTAAAATGTACATAAAAGCATGTCAACATGACACAAATATATAAATTCATATAATGTTGGTTAAGTCTGTGAATGTAGACAGTTGTAAAAAGATATTCGTGTGTATTAGTAAATTATATATATATATTTTTTTTTTTTTTTGGCAAACCAAGATTTCCAGTCATGAAAAACATTAGTAGTAAAAAAGTAAAATTTCTTGACATGAAAAACTAGCACCCGCTGTGCTACATCCACATATTTGACCAGCTATGCTAATAGAGAAGACTCCAGATCCAGATCTGTTTTTACATTACTGTGACGGTTGGGTTTAGGGTTGGGACGGTAGATGTTAATAAAATACAATTAATGAGAAATTTTATAAATAATCAAAATAATTCTTGCTAACTTCCGGTTGCAGCAGTATCTGATCTACAGCTGATTAACTATGTGGATGGATAGAGCCCATCAGTAGATGCAGAAGGCCCCTACTGGCCTATATCTATCAGCTGATAAAGCCCATTCAATCCAGTGATAACATTCAAATCGTCTGAAACTAGTAGAATTTTTATGAACAGAAACAAAATAATTAATTTGGATTTTAGTTTTGGTTTGGGGCCTTCAAACATTATTGTGGATGATGGGGGTCACTGGGGAGTCAAAACAGCTAGGTATCAGGTGTGAAAACTAGGGATGTAACGGTATTGTAAATACCGTCATACCGCAATATTAAATTTTTTCGATATTACCGAAGTCGCATGACTCGGTAAAACTATAGGTCTTCTGAGAAAATTTGCTCAGGCGAATGAAGCGAACGGGAGGTAGCTGAAACTTCATTTCCCATCAGCCCCGGCGTGGCCATAATCCTTTGCGGTCTGTTGTCGCTACAGATCCAGTAATGCGGAAATGGAGTGTGCTGCTAGTAGCAGAGATGAAAAAAAGATGGAAATGATCGAACCTAAAGCGGGTGTTGTCGCCGCGCGCGTGCTGAATAGCGGTGCTGTCGCGCGCGTTCTGATCAGCTGTGTTGTGGCGCGCGTATTGTAAAGCGCCGAGGGGGGGTTGAGCGCGCATACTCAAGAGAGGTGTTATCACGCGCCTACTGAAGGGCTGGACTGGACGGAGGTTGTGTCGCGTCGCGGGGGCACTTTTGATCGTTTTGGAAGGGCATTTTCTATCCAAGACTAAAAAGGGCATGTGCACTGCACTGCACAGGTTGAGCCCTATGTGTGCACGTGCCTGCAAGTTGGGGAATACGACTAATAACAGTCATGGGGACTGCAGAAACACAGCACACTGTTCAGATTGATGCAGACATTGACTTGTACCGCAAAGAGATCTCTATCTCACTCATGGTTTGTCCTCTCAAGTGGGGGACAGACAATGCACAACGTTACCCCACTGCTGTCAACATGGGCCAAGTCATATCTCTCTTGTCCCAGAAACCTCAGTCCCAAATGAGAGGGTTTTTTTCTGTTGCAGGGGACATTGTAAATACCCAGAGATACCAGCTTTTACCAGATTATAGTTATATGATAATTTTCCTTTAAACCCATCTCTATCTAAGTGAGTGATTAAATGTTAAATGTGATGAGTTTTTAACAATACTAAATTGAAACTTTATTTTTTTACATGGTTTAATAATTTTTTGTTATTAAAATTGAAGTTCCTGTTTCAAAGCTAACAGATAGATGGCTAATTTGTATGTCATTGACACTTTTGGCACTTTTTTGGAGTATTTTCAAAAGTTTTTTTTTTTCCTGTAAATGATTCAATAAATACCGTACCGTGACATTCATACCGAGGTATTACCGTACCGTGAAATTCTGATACCGTTACATCCCTAGTGAAAACTGAGGCTTAAGCCATTTTACTAGGGTCTTGGATTGCATAGAGGGCACCGTCTGTATAAAATAACAAACAGTGCACATTGATTGATTTCCATGCTCTCAGACACACACACACACATAATCCATGCGGTCACGCTTTATACCTCCACCAGCTGGTGCCAGTGTTCAATAGGCTTGCGGGGATTCGCCAGCATGGCTGTCCAGTGCTCTCTTCCCGGCCCATCAGCATCACTGCCCATACGGCACATCCCGATCACCTCATTATGACCGATACTGAGAGATGGAGAGAGAGAGAGAGAGAGAGAGAGAGAGAGTGGGAGGGGAAGAGAGTGAATTAATGCAGTTAGGCTTAGAAATGAAGGAGAACCACAGCACAGTGCATCCATTACCACAAATAGGCAGGAGAGCAAGAGAGAGAGAAAGCCACAAAAGAACACAAGGAGCAAGAAGGCAGAAAGTAACGAGATATAAAATTAAGCCTAATCCGCATCATGTAATTAGAAAGATACAGACAGGACCTTAGCGTCATATAGCAACCTGCCCATTAAGACACTCTCTCACACACACACACCACACACACACACTGAGAGTTTCCACATGCAGTCCTTTAATTACGCAGACACAGACTGAGAGATCACATAATTACACAGACAAACAGAGAACAGAAGGAGAGAGAGAGACAGAGGTACATTTCAATTATTGAATTACGAAGATAAACAAAATGAGGCGGGTGCACAGGGAAAGGACTCAATGATTTGAGCGAAAATTTGTCACAGAGGACAGATGGGTAGTTGTTTATGATAGGTCTACTGATTACCGAGATAAAAGAAACGAGAGAGAGAGAGGAGATGAGAAAAGAGGGAAAGGTGTCATAATCACTTAATTACTTGAAAAATTAGTATGAAAGTGGAATAACAAGCGGATACAATAAGCAGAGTAAATTTTTGACATATATTAAAACTATTAAAAGGTTAGCTCACCCAAAAATAATAATTACCTCATCATTTACTCAGCCTCATGTGGTTTTAAACCTTTATGAGTTTCTTTCTTCTGTTGAACACAAAGGAAGATATTTTAAAGAATTCTGGTTGCTTGCACTCATTGACTTCCAAAGTTAAAAAAAAAAAAACATGAAAGTCAACAGCCCGTTCACACATACAGACTTTTCCGGAAAATGGCTGGAAAAGGGATCATGTGCAAACAGGCCCTTTTTGAAAATACCGGTAAAATATTAATTCTTAGTGCCAACTGTGGAAAAAATGATCGATAAAATGCTTATAATAAACCACTGTGAGTTTACCTGCACTGAACTGCGTGACATGTGAGCATGTGATGAAGTGTCCTGTGAGTCAGACTTGAGTAGCCTACAACACTGGCAGTCTTTCGTTTTTAAAATGTAATCTCACAAGCTGCAGCACAAACTCAAGAGTACATCTCGGTATCCTAAAGTGTTCCTCCACATCTGGTCATCGATGTTGTTCACGATAGCTATTATTTAGTCCATCTCTGAGACAAAAGCACCTACATGAATGCAAGATCTTTGAATAAAAGTGAAACAATGATGAAAATAACAGACCCCCTTCATGTTTAATACAAGCATGGCCGTTTAGAGCTTTTGGCTAATGATGTCAGAATTTACAGATATATTGGAATGAATGTGTGAATGGTCCTTTCCTGAAAATTCTGGAACGCCCTTGCCTGTGTGAACAGCACATATCTGAATTTACATGTAAAAGAAATTTTCTTGATATTTACCGGTATCAGTGTGTGAAAGGGGCTAATGGGTGCCAGTAACCAGAATTCTTTAAAATATCTTCTTTTGAAAAAAACTAAATAGATTTTGAAAACGTCAAGGGTGAAATGATGACAAAATTTTCATGTCCATTTATTGTACATAGTTTTAAAAGTTTCTCGAAAGGTTTATAAAATGATGAATAAAGAAATATAGCAGTTTACGGTATACAGTTGAAGTCAGAATTATTAGCCCCTGTTTGAATTTGTTTTCTCTTTTTTAAATATTTCCCAAATGATGTTTAACAGAGCACGGAAATTTACACAGTATGTCTGATAATATTTTTTCTTCTGGAGAAAGTCTTAAATGTTTTAATTCGACTACAATAAAAGCAGTTCTTAATTTTTAAAAATAACATTTTCGGGACAAAATTATTAGCCCCTTCAAGCTATATTTTATTCCGATGGTCTACAGAACAAACCATCATTATACTCTAACCTGCCTAGTTAACCTAATGAACCTAGTTAAGCCTTTAAATGTCACTTTAAGCTGTATAGAAGTGTCTTGAAAAAGATCTAGTAAAATATTATTTACTGTCATCATGGCGAAGATAAAATAAATCGGTTATTAGAAATTAGTTAATAAAACTATAACATTTTTAAATGTGTTGAAAAAAATCTGCTCTCCATTAGACAGAAATTGAGAAAAAAAAACAGGGGGTCTAGTAATTCAGGGGGGTTAATAATTCTGATTTCAACTGTATATAAAAACTGCAAGTCAATGGCTGCCAACAGTTTGAGAGCAAAAAATATAAAGATCTAGATAAGACAAAACAAAATTAATACATGTGGCCAATGTCCTAGTTCTACATTTTAGAAATCACTAAGGACCACAATTTAAATGAGTAAATTAACAACACATTTTCATTTTGGGGTAAACAAAATTAGCATGAACAGAGTCGACACAACATTCTACTTATTTACAGCTAACAGTTTTTTAAAAAGGTAGCTTGTCTCTACATCTACAGTATTCTTTAAATTATGAGTAGTTTTTATCCAAGGGAGCTGCATTTGTAAAGTCGCTCCACTAACAATATCACTAAATCAAGAAAGAAACAGGTGCCAGCAGATTTATCTCCTGCATTTTCTGTAATGCCAAAATAAAGTCAGTCAAGAGGATTTAAAACAAAATACTGTATGTGTGCTGCAAGCAGCCTGAAATCAAACAAATAACATCGGTTTTACCAAGCAGTCAGCACACCAAGAACAACACTTCTTCATCTCCAACAAAAATAACTTGCACCTGCGCAACGACTTCCGCAGTAGCGCTGGTTTAAATACAGAAACAGTAAAACGGCATGTCAGATATATGTATAAAATGACTATTATCCGACAGATAGCGCTTCTGAATGGAGCGTTTAGCACAGATGGCATGCAGCAATGCTAAGAGCAATTCATCAGCCGTTATCTGTGGCTCACAGACGAGCAGCTTCATTAGGAGGGGCCGGTGGTGTGCCGCGTGCCATTGGGGAGAGATGGAATCACAGAGAGCAGCGACAAACACGCATTTGGGGAAAGTCGGATGTGGATTTCCTCAGCACAGAAAGCCATTCTTAAAATAGAAGCGTGATTTGTATGCACCTGATTTCCGCAAGGCATATTCTGTTCCACAAAAGCACACAAAACATGGCCATAAGTGGGATTAGATGCCACTACACACCGAGCAGTAGGTATACTTTTTCAAAAAGTAAAGGAGAAACATGTAGAAGAATATAAAATCTAGACATAAATGTCTCTCTTAAGGCCTACCACACACACACACACACACACACACACACACACACACACACACACACACACACACACACACACACACACACACACACACACACACAGAAGAGGTGACTTGAGCTGTGCCCACCAGACAAGAAATATTGGCTGTGTTACAGAGTGTCTCACCACCAGACATTACTTCCATTAGTATTAGGCCGTCATGTATATTCATGAGGTGTCTGTCTTTATGCAAAGCAGTGCAGACGTCCACCAGGAATAGTCCGACACACAGGGGCATAGAGGTCTATGTTCAGTGAAGCGCATACACATACAAATATGTGCCACAGGAATGCTAATTCACCAATTAAAACAACAAACTATCTCATCAGTACCAGTCATGGAGATTTGACAATGCATAATAATGTTTGTGTCTGCTCTTTTTTTTTTTTTTTTGGTGATAATTTAAAAGTGAAATTCATTGAACTTGTGTAATTAATAGTTTGAGTAGTATTTGAGGAGTCTGAGATCAATAATTGGATTAAAAGTCATTTTTATGTTTGACAAGGCTGCATGTATTTCATTATACTACATTAAAACATTAATATACACAATTACAATTGTGCATATTGTTTAGCCTTTTTAATAACATTTAAAATGTAATTTATTTCTCAAACACATTTTAGGTATCATTATTACTCCAGGCTTTTGTATTGCACAGTCCTACAGAAGTCCCTTCAATATGCTGACTTGCTGCTCAACAGAGACAAGGAACAGAAAATAAAAAGAAATGTTAAATATTAAGCTAAAACTAGGCTATTATTTGAATTTGATAACTTATGTAACAATATAAATGAATAAATTTACAATTTTTAATCAAGAGTAATACTTTGTTTTGTAAAAAATCTTACTAGCAGACCCCATGTTGTTCATTACAGTACAGAAATACAAGTATTTACACAGTTAGGCTTCTTTATTTTATCCACTCAATAATCAAATTAGGCAAACTATTCCAAATTCTGCATGTAAACATAGCAAACGTAATACTAAAAACTATATTTTGTGTTTCTTTCGGTTACCTGCCTTCACTTTCATGACTGGCCATAATACCAAAACAGCCAATGGCAGAGCCGGAGTGGGACTCCTTTTCAGCTTTGGAGTTTCAAGCCTTAGACCGGCCCACATCAGTTCACAAGTGATTATTATGTCTATTTCAAGGACACAGCTGCTTTAGAACTTCAAATGTTTTTCATAAATATTAGAAGATTAATGGGTAGCTAAATCTCCGACATTATTCTTTAAAACATCACAATGTCCTTTCCTGCAGTGTTTGAATATATATTCTGTGCAAAATTCTGTATAGATATCCAGTTCTTCATAAGGGTGGTCGCACAAAAAATAAATTAAAATATGTACACCCATATAAGTAAACCACACAGTATTATATGTCTTAACACTAAAAAAAATAAATAAATAAATAATAATAATAATAAAAATAACTCAGCATCGTAACGCATCATGCTGACCACTGGACCACAATGGCGCTGTTATGCTGGTGGGTTTGGAATAAAAAATATCTGCAAGACTCCTTTAACCAGAGTATTACTTTCTATTGATGGCTTAATCTTTTTCTCCCCTTTTTAGATTTCTGATCAAGTTATGTCAGATTTATTAAAGTAGTGAATCATCTGATTTTCATTGAACAGGTATAATATTCATTAATATTAAATATTCAAATTCATATATTCATTAAGGTGCTGCTGTTTGGGATCGAATGATAGTTATGTCATTATTAGTCTGCAGGTTTCATTTTGTTCATGAGGCTGCGAGAAAATGAATACAAAGAGCGGAGCTGCTGTAAAATAATGAATAAAAAGAGTGAGGCTATGGTCAAATAAATAAATAAATGAAAAAAGTGAGACTGCTGAGAGTGCAAGCAGTTAGAGACACCGGCCCTCGTCGCCAAAAAACCGACTGGCCCACTGTGAATTCTCCCGGTCCTCCCGATTAGCCAATCCGGACCTGGCCAATGGAAGTGCTTCTGTGGTGCATGTCCTAATGCTTGCAGAACAGACAGCTCACGTTTCCTTTAATAAGACACATAAACTAAAAAAACAGTAAAAAAAACTGTATCATAACCTACCACACTTATACAAACACGCAGCAGATCCAGAAAAATGCACAGCAAGCCCAAAAAACTCACCAAATATAAGACACAAATGCCCATTCATTCATTCTCCTTCAGCTTAGTCCCTTATTTATCAGGGGTCACCACAGCGAAATGAACCGCCAACTATTCCAGCATATGTTTTACACAGCGGATTCCCTTCCAGCCGCAACCCAGTATTGGGAAACACCCTTACACACTCATTCACACACACACACACACACACACACACACACACACACACACACACACACACACACACACACACACACACACACACACACACACACACACACACACACACACGTCTTTGGACTGTGGGGAAAACTGAAGCACCCTGACAAAACCCATGCAAACAAGAGGAGAACATGAAAACTTCAAACAGAAATGCCAACTGGCCCAGCCGGGACTCGAATCGGTGACCTTCTTGCTGTAAGGCGACAGTGATAACCACTAAGCCACCATGCTGCCCAATTTAGATACAATATATTTTAAAACAAATTGCAAATGTTTATACAAAGTGGCATCTATTTAATATAATGTACAAATCATGCACTACAATATTACTAAATAACAAATGTCTGCATGATGTGTTTTTAATGGTGTTTTAATGTGTTTTTTTTTTGGCCAATTTTGCCAATTTCCACCACAGCTCAGTCCTTGAATAAGAGCCTCTTTCTTCAAGTGAACAGGAAGTCCTGCAATGTGTTCCTGCAATAACTCTGTGAAACGCAGCTTGTAATCATGCCTAAAGTTGCAAGTAGGCACTTCCTGTCAAGCCTCATATCTCAGCATGGGGCTTGATGTGCTGCAGTTCTGTATATGTCTCAAAGCCCATCACAGCATGAAAAAGGCAGTCATGATCTTACCAGTCGTAGTCCATGACGGCTATGATGAGCGACACACTCTCAATGTTCTCGTTGGGAATATCAAAGACCAGAGCCTCGTTATACGTGGGATTGAGGGTATTCTTCTTTATGGATGTCTTTCTCTTTTTCAGCCTTCGACCTTCACAAACCAAAGATGCCTTTACGTATGGATCTGGAGGAGAAAATGACAATTTGTCAGTCAAACTTAAACAGCAGTAGAGTTTTGGCAACATAAACTAAATAGATAGTTCACCTCCCAAAAACTACATTTTAAAAATACAACCTTTGTAATAGGGATGCATGATATATCAGCGGCCATATCGATATCGGCTGATAAATGCTTTTTTTAATGTTACCGTTATCGATCTGATATCAAAATTAGGCCAATATCTTTAAGCTGATAGATTATGTAATTGTATAGAACTGCCTGCCTAACACTTGCGTGTGTCGAACTTGTTCAGTGCTCTATAACAAAGCTTACATCACATTGTTTATTCCTTTAAAGTCCGTCCTTCCTTTGTGTGGTATTGCTGTGCGTTAATAACTCAGTAAGTAATCACATTCTTATCATTGTAGATATGTTTGATAGAGTGTCATTGTGTATTTTGGGTTAAATCGCCTCAGGAAAGGTATTACATGTGTAAACATGATAGCAGCAATGCACACATGCTAAAGAACTTGTTGGGTTGTTTGTAATCTAATATGATTATTTGGTCTTTTTTTAAAGATTGTATTCAGTTTGATCTGCATATTTATAATGATTATAATGAGAGCATGTGATGGTTATTATCATGCACACACATAGTGACTAGCGAGCCGTCAGAACCTTCACAGCAGCAGGGGAGCTAGTCACTGAATCCAGCATAGGGGTTTACAACTATCCGCCACATTCTGTCTTTATAATATGCACTGTGTTTGTCATGAAGTCATCTGTGCTTAATGCTCAGTTGTTGTGTCAAAATCTGACTTTCGAGGACAAACCTGACTCCGCTTCGCATGCACATGTGTGATGCATCACACAGCAAAAACCTTTCATTGATCGGTTTTCCCGCAATTGACAGCAAGAACAAACATAGAAGAGTTGTCTGATTAACAAGCAGCACCTACATGTGTTAAAAGAATCAAAAATGCCAAATGGGGCGAATTTTTGCTGCATTTTTAAAAAGTAAATCATACATTCTGTATTTAGCTTTTTTGCTTGTACGGTGGCTCTAACCTGTCAAAACACCTCTCAAAATGCTTTTTCGGACATCTAATATTTGTACATATATTGTAACACATTTTATTCAGGAACTTTTGAGCTGGTTTCAGTTCTTCTTTCATTTTCATTTCATTTAACATATATTTATTTAACTTGTTTGCTAATTAAGTTCCATCTTGTTATTTAACCAATTATTTTTATACAACAGTCAAGTACATGTTCATTTGCTATGCGAAGAAAAGTAAATAATAAATTTTTGGCATGCTGATTTATGTGAAATGGTGAATATAAGTCTATATGATCACCTTGCAATTTCGAAATTATAGCTTTTTTTGCTTTGAGTAGGCTATTCAGTTCATAAGATCAGTTCAAACGTTGGTCACACTTTATTTTGATGGTCTGTTTGTTGAATTTAAGTTACATTGCATCAACAAGCCAACTAAATCACATTAGATAATAAGCAGACTGTTAGGTTGGGGTTAGGATTAGGATTAAGGTTAGTGTAAATTGACATGTCCTTGCAAAGATTCTTATAGTCAGCTAAGTGTCTGTTTAGCAGCAGTATCAACCGATATTAAGCAGACAGTCTACTAATACTCAAATGGACCATCAAAATAAAGTGTTATCCAAACTTTTATGAAGTTTTAGAAATAAAATCAGTCGTTCAATGTATAAAAATATAACATTTTGAAATAATTATACTTATTGGCTATAGTATATCGGCTATCGTCCTCTAAATCTTAAGAGTTATCAGTTATCAATATCGGCCAAAAAATCCATATCGGTGCATCCCTACTTTATAAGGTTTTTTTCTGTTGAACAAACACATAAAATATATATTTTGTAAAATGATGGACACCGGTAGCTATTGAAAAGTTTTCCAAGGCTTTTCAGCATTCTTCAAAATTTCTTAGTTTGTGTGTTCAACTAAGAGAAAATCATTCAAACCGGTCTGAAACAAACGGATATTGAGTAAATAATAAAAATGTTCATTTTATGGTAAACTATCACTTTAAAATGAATGTTAGTAATGATATCAATAACGATTATGCAAGCATCAACCATACATTAGCATCTATGTAATCATACCTGTCAGTGTGTACCAAATGTTACTTTTTCATAATGCCCTTTCATAATGATCATGTCCTTTGAGAAAATCTTTATTGCATCACTTTAAGCCTTGATGTGATAATTAAATTAGCCAACACTAATTAAAGATGTCTCTTGTCCTTACAACAGCGATGTTGATGCCTTTATGAGGCCTTCCTGTGTTGGCATTGAAATTTTTAAAGGTGTTATTTGATATTCGCAACTTTTCAGAGGTGATGCTTTGATGACCTTTAATGTTATTTCATTATTCACATGCTGGTCTTGTTACATGCAGATTATTAATGAGAAGCAGTTTCATCACGTCTCAATGTTAACAATGTCTGAGGCACTAATGAGGTATTGCTGCTAATTATGAGGGAATTAGATGAATGGCTGGGGACAAGGAGCGAGACCAGACACCTGAGAAGCCCGTCAGGTCCATGGCTTTCAGATTGGTGGCCTTAATGATGGTGACGGTCAGTCGGCCAGCTGTTGGCAGGTAACACAGTGAGAAGTTCAGCTCTCCCAGGTCAGCTTTCTCCTGCAAACACAATAAGCATATGGAAAAGGCATACTGAGTCAGGTAAATGCAATGCAAGAACATAATGAAATATAAAAAAAAAAAAAAAAAAAGGTTTCAATGACTGCAACAAGTTTCAATAATCAATTTGTCCTTTTATTAAGACATAAGGATATACAGGAAGAATGTTTGTGGCATTTGATATTGATTCAAGCATTTTTCAAGGATTCCTCAGGGTTAAATTCAAAGGTAGCTCTATAGACGAAAGCTGGGCCTGCTGTTGACTATCATAGAAAATTATTTCAATTCGTCCTTGAATCTGTACATCACAATGAAAGTCGTGATTAAGTCAAAGCACATACTACAGTAGGTTATAGAATTAAACTGTGATTAACATAAAAACATTCATACATTGAATACACATTCAGCAAACTTTATAGCAAACAAACTGTTTACTGTTACAAACAAACTGTTAAAAAAAATGTAAAGTTTTTTTGTAAATGCTGGCATCCACAAAAAAATCTGGAATTAGTGAGGTTCATTCAGTTTCAATTTGGCACTCAACTTTTTTCTCTCATCCAAAGCTATGGTGTAACGCAAATTATTTACACTATTTAACAAAAAGTTCACAGCATCTCTCACCCCTCAAGCAGGCCAAAGATTATTCCTACTCCCCCAAACTCAGAATACATCTCTTGTTACTGTGGTAACACACATATAAATGGTTTAATGACCTCAAATTTGGATTAGCTCCCAAAATCTTAGAAACAGGCAATAGAAGACAAGACAAAGAATCAAACTTCCTGTAAATGGGACTTTTCTCTATCTCCATTGTGTTGTCTTATCTTTGATACTCTGAACCTTTTAATGCACACCTCATTATGACATTTTTAAACACTTATCTTATGTTTACTATCAAATCAGTCATTAGTGAATGTGATTCTATATACTTACTCATAGGTTGCTACAAAGTACTAATCTGAGTTTACACACTCAAAACTGTAAGTTCATTATACAAATGAACTCAGAAACAATTAGAGAAACTTTTCCCATTTAAAGAAGCTACAGTATGTCGTTGGCCGAAACAATATTCAGTAGGTGTGGTCTAGGTATGAGCCGGTATAAATTTCTGGCGGTACGATAATCTTGGATAAAAATATCAGCTTCACGGTATCATGGTATTGTGATTACTGCTCTGAAATAAGTTATTTTTAAAATGTCAAAACTTTGTTTTCCCATTAAACACGATATATTTTATTTTGGGAAACATTTATAACATTTTGGAACATTAAACATGTTAGGCTAAATAGTTAAAATAAATCACTGATTTCTTTACAAAACATAAACTCATTAATAAAAAACTTGCATATATAGAAGGAACGATATAACAGATAATTTTAGTGGTTTTAAAACCACTGGAAAGGTAGAGCTATCATGCAGATGCCATGTGCTTCAGCCTTCTTCTATCAAGTCAGAATCCCATAGCTGAAGCCATTGCATTGAATGTTCCCACAGCGGCTGAGACAAATGCAGGTATCATACACTTTAACTACTTTAATCAGAGGTTTAGATTAATCGTGTAGGCACCATTAAAAAGGTTTTCAAGATGGTTAAACTGATTTGTAATTGTTCATTCATTCTCCTGTTTTATTCATTTTCACTTTTGCTCCAGCCTTATGTATGTGTTCAGTTTTGTCATTATATACTTGACTCAGCTAAAAAAATAAATAAATAAATAAAAAACTTTTGTGCACACTTTACACTTTGTTGAATCTGTAATAATAACTGCTTCTATCTAAGTCACTTTAACGATCTTTAATGCTTTTGTGGCCACTAAAAATGACATTCTTACTCACTGGAAGAACGAGTTTGAATTGCAAGCTTCAGCAGCATCAAGCTATTACATATGACCAAAGTAGTAAAAGCTGCAAATTAAAAAAAAACTACTAATATTCAAACTGCTGTAACTGAGTAGTTTTTCTTAGGAATGGTAATTTACTACGTAGTTTTAAAAATGTGTACTTATACTTTCACTTGAGTACCTTTTTAGTGCAGTATTGGTACTTTTACTCCATTACTTTCCTTCCAACTGCAGTCACTACATTTTTCTTGTCTAGAGTTCTTATTCTTGAGTAGAAAAATCAGTCCTGGAACTCCTGTCCAATCAAATTGCACATAGAAAGTGAACCACATCATACTGAACAACCTCAAAACAAGGGCTCTATAGAAATGCAGCAAACTGTTTGAAAGCATTAAAAGTGTCCAAAGAGATGGCCAAAATCTTTACTCTCAATGACCCAGATGTTTAGATCAAGGGTGCCCAAACTCAGTTCTGGAGGGCCGGTGCCCTGCAAAGTTTAGTTCCAACCCCAGTTATACACACCAGAACCAGTTAATCAAGCTCTAGGTTTACTAGAAACTTCAGGGTGGTGTTGAAGAAAGTTGAAACTAAACTATGCAGGACACTGGCCTTCCACGACCGAATTTGAGCGTCCCTAGTTTAGACAGTCTGAAAATTGCTGAAGAGTCTCAATCAATAACTAAATGTACAACAGAATGTAAAGTTAACACACACCAGCACAAATTGCATATAAAAGCATTAGTTTTTCACAGCATAACACTTACTACTCTTGAGTACTTTTAAAAGTACTGTTTTACTCGTAATTTGAGTAATATTTACAACAGATACTTTTATGCTGATTGAGCTACATTTTTGAGCAAGCAATGGTACTTTTACTTGAGTATGACTTTTCAGTACTCTTTTCACCACTGCATATAACTGATCCAAATATGCATAAACAATTATAACTGGTTATTATTAAATTATTCAGATTGTCCAATTAGCTAATTAGCTACAATGTTTATCACATTCCGTGTCAATAGAGTCTTGATTTTAAATGTGGATATCGTATAAAAAACTTTGTCGCATGTATTTAGACACTGGTCATCCAAGCAGCATGAAATTACTAAAAAAGGGAATCACTCCCAAAGTTCTGTTATGATCAGTGAATTTCATATTTACATCATGTTTACATGTTGGCTGTTGTAATGAGAAGATTCAAAAGCATGCAGAACATAGTAGTAAACACCAGCGGATTTGTCTGTAATTGGCTGCACGGCTCAACACTGCAAAAACACACTCTAAAAAGAACTTTTTTAATGCTCTCCAGAGTGTAAACAACAATATGCACTGCAGCATTTACTAATTATGTTTGGCAATATGCCATTATACCAGCTTTTAGAACCTCTGTCTTTAATTTAAAATGCAATTTAAATATGTGACAGACAAGTTTTAGTATCACATGATCAATAATTAGATTTGTACTAAATCATTAGGAAAAGTTCAATAAAAGATATAAGATTCTAAGATAAAACATGTTTTATTAATTATACTTAATTAAGATTTCTAATGAATTTTACAAAGTACTGTATTAATTACTGTATTGTATGTGTGGCATTCCGAATGCTTGTAAGTGCAGTATGATTTTGTGTCTGTATTTCCCATTCTCCCCATATAACTTCTACCATTAAACTCTGTCTGTTTTTTTAAAGGATGTTTATTACTGATCAAAAATGTATTTACAGTTGTTGTGTTATCACTTGCATGCGTTTAAAGAAACTCAGACAGACTCTCCAAGCATAAAGTATACAGTGGTTTGTTTTCCCCCTTATGCTCCTTGTTGAGACTTTCATCTTTCTCTCAAGTTCTTGTTCTGCCAGACAGAATTAATCATCAGCTATGATGAAAAAAGAACAAGGGCAGCAGAGGTAAACAAAAAGAGCTGCAATATTTCATCAAAAACGCCAACCATCTGAGGTACATCTCCAAGAACTATAGGAGCTGCCAGCTTCAGGTCTGTGTCCGTACACGTGATGTGAATGCTACGTGATGTGTGAGTATTTTTTTTTTTTTGCTACACTCCGACAGCTCGAAAAATGAATTATACCTCAAGATATTTACCAGCTGAGTAGTTAAATCCACTACCGCCACCTGAGTGGCCAATTGCCTGAATCCTGTATGTAAACATTTGATCTACATGTCAGAAACACACTCAAATCCAGCATGCATCACAGAACAATCATTAAATTCCTCTTGTCAGACAGGGAAGACAGTGCCAAATCTATCTTCTTTCCTTCATTTGATCTAGCCGTGCAGCAGAAAATTTCATCTTCCTTATTTAAGCACACTACAGCTTGTGTTTGATTTGATTTATTCTCTCTGTTCTCCAAAGGTATAAACATCTTTTAGAATAACACTGCTCTACACTCAGGATAAAAATGTTTCTAAAAAATGCACCATTAAGATGCTGTGGCAAGTGCTCGTGATAAAAAAAAAGCTTGTTCGCACATCGACCTTCACTAATTTCATGTCATTTTCTCTGGAAGGACAAGCACATGCATCACTATTTCTCCTCACACCTCTACCAACATCCCCCCAAGGACACATCATCACCATCGACTTAGCATGTAATCATGCATGATTTCCAACTGTGTATGTCTTGTGAATACAAGATGAGCTTTTGAAAAAAGAAAATTAAGAGACATTGCAAGTACTAGAAATAATTCTATCATCATCTCATTATTCAATCTGTTCTTGAAAGTGAATCCCAGCATCATTTCTTGGGTGAAATTAAACAATTTGTTTAATTACATATGAGGATGGCATGGTGGCACAGTAGTTAGAACTCATAGCAAGAAGGTTGCTGGTTCTAGTCCCTGCTGGGCTAGTTGGCATTTCTGTGTGGAATTTACATGTTCTCCCCATGTTCACATGGGTTTCCTCCGGGTGATCTGGTTTCCCTCACAGTCCAAAGACATGGCGCACTATTTTAATGATCTAGGCGCAACTGTGGTCTAAAGCGCATGCCGCAAAAGCATTAAGGGAGTGTCAGAGTCCACTTTAGCTATTTTAAGGACGGTGCATGGTCTAACAGGGCTGTGCTTATTCTCTTAATGAGTTACGGGTGTGTTTTGAACATTGCGTGCATTAAACCAATCAGTCTCATTTCACATACCTTTTA